CATGAGTCGGCAGGAATGTGATTCATGGATCTGATATGGTACAAAAACCTCCCCAAAGGAACTGAGCTGCTGCCTTTCCTCCCCTCTTTCAAGGGCAGCCCAGGCACAGCCTTACACCAAGGCAGCAAATTCCAGTGTGGGCTTCCTCCTCAGGCCTCCTGCCTCTGGCTTCCTACCCCACCTCTGCCCACGCTCCAGAAGCACAGCCCGGACACACAGACAGCTTTCAGCTCGCCTGGATGGAGAGCTGATAATCCTGCATTTTAACTATAAAGCTTTTCCGGCTCTTTCAGTCGAACTCGAAGTTCACAATGGTCCCCTCTGATTTCACATTGTATGAATCCTCTCCCTCTAGACGGCCACTTCCCCTCCGGCCGGGCGGGGCCATGAGTCACCTACCTCCGTGAATCAGCAGAACCTGCTTAACCCTTTCCCAGAAGCACCAAGGGCTCCACAGACATTGGTGTTTCACCCAAGTTTTATCGCCAGCCATAGGGAGCACACTCCAAAAGGTGAAGATACCCTGGGATGACAGGTTAGAGAAGCTGCTTCTGCTCATTTAAAAGCGATTTTTAGAGATATGTGTTCCATGATAAAGATCCCCAAGGTTCATACAAGCCCCAGAGCTTCTAAACAGGGACTTCTAAGAGAGTCTAGAGGTACAAAACCAAGGCACAGGCCTCTACATCTGTGTGAACCAGGCTGCAGAAACCTTCTCATCTGTTAGTCTTAAAAGCAAGGTTTTTTTTCAATATGGAAGTTACACCATAAGATAGAAAAATAAGTAAAAAGATAACACTCTCTAGGCCAGGATTCCTATCTTAAAAGTAAAAGCAGTAAGCAGAGAAAGTAAAACAAGCCACTGGCTAAAAAAAAAAAAAGAGACAGAATAAACATTGCTTGAGCTTCACTGAGCTATGTGCTGTTGTTTCACTGGTTCTGTGTGATGAGAAATAAAACCAGCTTAGATGGAATATCTGCATTTAAATGGGTGCCTTCTGCAGAAATGATTATTGTACATTCTTGGTTACATGTACAATGTAATGTTTATTTAAAAGTTCACAGAAATACACTTCAGTCGCCTGAGAATGGTGTAATTGTGGTCAGATGGCA